GCATCTGGAGGAAGGGTCCTTGAAGGGACGGAACATCCTAGCTCGCCAACTGTCGCGCCCATCTCTGATCTGGGCATTTCAGGTGATCAAAGTAATCCAAAGAACTTAAGGGTGCAGCCGTCAAACGCTCCGCAGACAGCACCCGTATCTGAGATAATCATGAAAACTATGCTTCCTCTTCACGACCAAGCTTCAGGCTGGCAAAACACTCCAGCACACATGATTTCGGGCATTCACAGGGAAACGGAGATCGCAGTGCTTGGAAGAAGATGCGTGCACCCTTTAAATGACACGATTGACCGGGTACATGAGCTTCTCCGTAGCGTTGCTACGGCCATTTTCCCGGAAACAATCAAGAAATCTCTACCCAGCGTGCTAGGAGGTCGTGCTGCGAAGGTCCACCTTTGGCTTGAAACTGTGGTAGTTGAGTTAGCAGAAGCGTTAAGGAGAGGACCGCCAGACAGCACAGAAGAAGGAAAGGCCCACTTGCTATCATTTTTGCAGCAACAGCGAGGGCGGGTACTGCGGCGAAAGGCAGTACTTCATCTGCTCAAACGTGTAGAGCGTAGGCTTCGTCAAACTGCAAATCGTACATCTCCTGCTCCCTCAAGAGAGGTGGTTGCCTCGGGTGAGCATTCTAGACGATGCTTGAAAATGTCTCAGAATTGCTGGCCGAAGCGAACCTACTGCGTCACACAACTCGATGCTGAGTTGCAAACAATCCACTCACAGTCGAAGTCGGATTCGTCTGCTAGGAAACCAACCAGACGATTTCAACCATCCCCGTCTGGTGAACGTACCTCACCTGCTTCGGCGAAAGCTGGTAAAGAGAAGATCCGAACAGAACCAACAATTCTGTCTGTTAAGGATCCCAAAAGCCACCTACAGGTGCGACAGCAATAGAGTATTCATCAAAAGTCAGTACACATAGCAGCGCACACCACTCAGCCAAAAATGCCTCAATATTTTCCAGATGTTCATGAAGAGCTCCAGCAAGTGAAAGCCTGCAGAACCCTGGATACACAAGAGCAAGTTGCTCTAGTTTCACCAGTAGTTTCAACAACGGAGCAAGCCCCAGCTCCCAGAAAGGCAGGGGAATTTCACCCTCACGAATGCCATTCTTTGAAATCACTAAAGACATTTTATTCTCTGCAGGAAGGGTCAAAACACCAAAGAAGTTGTATACCACCAACCCACGAGAGCATGGATGCTAGGCGGGAAGCCCTCCATATGAACGCGGCGCACTCCCAAAATGTCGACAATTGTATCCGCAGAAAGGTGCACCTGGACTACCATGGAGGACACCTTAAACAACGAACCTCTGACATTTTAAAATGTTTAGTGCGCCTTCAAGAGGCAGAGTGTCATGCCTTAGAGACGCTGCGAAATATCGAAAATTTACCTCGCTCAACTTTTTCTCAAAAGCACGCAACAGTTTCGCAAGGTGGCCTAGGCCGAAGACAACCGTGGATCCAAGCTGAGCCTGTGCTAGGTCGTGGGTCGTTCGTTAATTCGCCGTATGCGAAGGGAACAGTTGAACTAGAAGCAACTATCACCATACAAGGAGGGCAATCGAAAGGTGAGCTTCAGTATTCCAGGCTCATGCTTTCCTCTGCGGTAGCGGAAAAGCTAGTGGCCTTCCGAGAGTCAAGAAGAAGAGCGCAACTAAAAGATGAGCCTCTCCTGCAGCACGAAAGTCTTCAGCATGCCTTGATTCAGCTCAAAGAGCAAAATGGGGGACGTGCTTGTTTCGAAAACGAACTGGCGGGCATTTGGATGTTGCATGACGCCATTGTGGAGCAGCTGCTCGATCGAGAAATGAAGCAACTAGTATCTTGCGCCAACTCTGCCGCAAGAATGTTTGTGGACAGAATATTGGAAACAGAAGCAATCCGAATGGCAGGGCTTATCAGACCAGCGTGCCATAAGCAGTTAGGCAGTGTCGCTGGAGCATGTTGAAAATGTTGCTGTGCCACTAAGACCTCCGTTTAACTAACCGCCTCTCATTTGCAACAATTTTGAGATAAAAAAAGAGAAGAACATCATTTAAGCTTTGTTAGATTTGTTATTTTGCTGTGTCAGATGAGATGCCTGAGTGTCTGTAGCAGTTTACTTGCGGGTCTCAGTTAACTAGTACCTGCTGGCTCGTTATACTCAGCTGTGGCGTCCTAGGGATGCGCCCCACAGTAGTCTTTCAGAGGAACAGCCTACTAGTATCTCTTGTCTACTGTAAGTATTATACTAAAGTGTAATATTCTTTGTTATCGTGAACAAAACTCGTCATAGCATGTGAGGTACTGAGGGTTCGCGCCACACATCATCAGCTTAATGGGCCCACAGTGCATCCAGTGTTATGGTGTTGTAATACCCCATCTTGCGAGGGAAGGTAGATCCCTACTAGGTCGCACAGTTGGGTTTTTGTCTGCGTTTGCGTTGTCGTTGGGGGCACAAGAAGCAGAGCTGCGGGCATTGACTGTTGCATCCATTGACGAGAGTGGGATCAAGTCCCGAAGGCTCTATGGTCCCGAAGGCCCTAAAGTCCGCTTAGCTGGCCTGGTGTAAGGGAGTTTCGCACAGTCATGCATCGCGAGCTGCAGCGAGATGCGCTGCAAATCCAGTTAGGCTCCCTCCTCCCCGGCAACCCCAACTCATGAGCACAACGCCAACGACAGGGGAAGGAGGTCAGATACTTTTCGCGGGAAAATCCGATATCGAGCATTTGCCTTCATTGCAGCCCTATTTTTTCCTCGGAGAAGGGCGGAAAGAACGCTTTAAAGTAGACAACTACTAAACAATTATTCGGCTCTCAGTGGCCAGCCCTCACGCAAGTAGAAGCGCACCTAAGCTTCAGATATATTAGGTCACACATCTCATCCTACATCACTCGCAACCAGAAGATACGCTCGTGTGTTTGGCTTCCTAACACGTGATTGGTGCGCCAGAGGGAGTTGAGAAGGGCACAAAAGGGACAGGCGTCATGAATACGGGAAACGAAACGAAAAATGCCAAGGAAATGGAGCATGCTCATCTGCCGATGAAGCACATATTTTTTGCTGCTGCAGCCAACTTCATGGCGCCGATGCGGGCACTCAGCGAGCGGCGGGCTCGCTGGTCGTTACGGCTCGCTTTGCTTCGTGTTTTAGTGTTGTCATCTTAACCTCAACAACATGTAGGGAACCTCAGGAGGCGGGCAATGTCAACGGACGAGTGAAGCAGGGAGTCTGGTAGGGCCCCAAAACGAGCCCATCTCCAAAATATCGAAGACGTAAAGGCGTCGTCAGCGGCGAAACCGAGTTTGTCATAGGTCGGTGCAGGGAAATGGACAACGGAGGGAAATAGTCGGTGCTAGTAAAGACCTAGATATAACGAAACAAAGATAAAAACATTTCTATACTCGTGACAGAGCGATATCTACGCGGTTTAACCTGAGCTGTGGATGAACATGCTTGTAGTCTTGGTCGCCAAATTGAGACCTGCGCTTATGAGTTTTTGATATATTGGTCTGCCCATGTGAAGTGTAGAAGCCCATATGAGCTGCGGTTTTCCGGTTATTGAAAGCAATAACCGTTTTCTCTGAATTTTCCCCGTGGAACAAGTGCATCCAGGATATCTGTCTAATTCAGCCGCTCCTTCCCGCGCTGCCCTAACGGCAGTTTTGTGGGGAGAGTTCGGGGAAATTTCAGTGATTCCGTGAGCCATTTTTTAAAGCCCATATGGGGTGCGTTACGTTGGGGGTAATGTTACGATGTGGGCGAACGCGTTGATCCGATGATGCGACCAATCCAACGTATGGCAACGTCTTCAACACCTCGGCTTCGTGCGCCCTTTGCCAAGCCAGCAGGAAGCAACATTCCTCGGTTAAAAGTGACATCTGTGCCACGTTTGTCGTAGTTTGCCTGCCGGGAATTCCCCTGGTTTATTCATACGCTGTTGGAGTGGTGCAAACCGTCTGCGGGAGCCTGCAGTTGCAGGCCAACGAGTCTAGCGGCGAACGACCAGGCCCAACTCCGGATCGCCGTGCGTCGGTGTCGACCGACGAAGCCGGAGAGCAGCGGGCTGAAAACTGCACTATAGAGCCATTTCATAGAAGGGAGGGAAACAAGTCACTGTGATGCATTCGCTGCTGCGGAAGTGCTCATGACAATGAAGTGGGCCTCGGTAGGCCTGGAGACATTCACGCCGATCTGTCCGTCATGCACCCTGGAACAGCCACAAACCCAAGGCCGTCGGCGAATCCAAGCTGTTTACCTCGGGTGGGTAGGGGCGACAAGGGCCTGTTGTTGCATGTAAGGTTGCGAATAGGCAGGATCAACAACCAGCTACTTCTGCGTTGAACCAGCTCCAGGCCGAGGTTCCACTTTAATTCAGATCTGCTAGAGAGAATCTGCCCACCAGAATGAGGTAGCTTCGCGCGTCATATTTGAGGCTATTTGAGGGCCTACGTGGAGTAACTTTGAGGAGCCCTGCCAACAAAGAATTGTCATGTGCCCTTTGGCTTGTAGGCTGAGGGGACGGGGTTACAAAATAGTTACAAGAATTTCATACTTCGGTACGTGCTTTCTGCCCACAAATTGCCGAATTGTCATAATAAGGACCGTACATAGTAGGGGTAATACGACAAGCTCCGGTGCGATTCCGCGTCAAATCCTGGTTACGATTAAGCGCGTCCAAAGGCATAATTTTTTCAAGTTCTGAATTTAATCCGGACAGCCCCAATATGTACGCTTCTGAATTGTTGCAAAGGAGCACTGTCATTACAGTCGCAGTTGTGCTAGTCACGAGCTTAGCTCAGGGACTCTGCAAGGTTTGGAGACGGCAGAAAGTCGATAAGGATGGCACCGTTTATGAGATTATATTCGTATGAGCCATCTGTACGGCAAGTTTTCCGAAGACGACCTGGCGAAATTAGGGCCATATTTGTGGGAGAAAACGCGGTGTATTACTCTTTCAAGTGACACGTATAAATATTTAGAGCACAAATGGAAATGTTAGTAATGTGCTCAAGAAGTATTGCCGCCAGCAGCTGGTGCATTCTCTACTTTTAGAGTTCCGTCAGCTAAGGCTCCGACGACCGTTTCCTCTACCGCAAGGCGGGCTGCCACACGGAACTTATGATCTTCAATTTGCTCGTCCCTTCGTTGACACTGGCTTGCAAGGCTTGGCATAAGGAGGCCCCTCACAAGTTCCCCTACAATGACCTGCGGTTCTTCGTGACCCTCTTGCAGATCATCAACAATTCTAGCCAAATGCTCAGAATGCAGACAAACTTCCAACAGTGCCTGCAGAACCAATAATGTTAATCGAACATTTTCGTTTCTTTGTATGTCTTGTAAGCCTCTGTAATCCTTATTCTACAGACGTTCGAACTTGGAGCCACAAAAGAGCTCTTCAACCTTACAGCAACAGCAGCAAACCCAGCATGCATAATTCTCACCTCTTCTTGAGCATTCCCTGCCCCTGCCTTTTCAATGATAGCTTGGAGATAAGAGTCAATCGTTTGATTGTTGATGCCCATTGCATTCTGAAACGCCCGGTTTTCCCTTTCCCGAAGCATTTCTTCAGCCTGTCGAGTACCGTATTCCTGTGCCTCGCGTAAGCGTCTCTCCCGCACAGCCAATTGGGCAAGCGCCGATATCCGCTGCACTTCTTCCATGCGCCTCTGTTCTTTTGCTAGCTCGTCAAGCATCTGCCCAACCCGTAAGCACGGTATTTCGTGCCAATAATGTGCCAATAACGTTTTAAGAGTGGAAAAAAAGGAAGAGACTGCGCGACATTGAGGTTAAAATATTTCTACAACAAAGGCTGGCAGTGGACTCACTTCAGCAATAGCCATCCCTTGAGCAGAAGCCATAAGGACCTCGGCTGCCTCCAAGGCTGTCTGCTGATCCACTGACTCTTGTTGCTGTCTTGGCGGCACATCCTGTAGCTGTTCGGCAGCGCGAAGCATATTTACGAGGTCCAGGCTCTTTTCCTTGCCCTTCATCATTATCTTACGCCTGGTCGCTCCACGCAGAAGCTGCTGCAGAAGTAGCACTGCCTTTGCATCAAGCTCTTCTTCCATGGGTACCTGCGGAGAGCCACCACAGCAGGCATCTGTCTCTCGCAGTGTGAGTCAAAGGCAAAGGTGCTGTTCATGAAAAACTTCCTTTAGAAGCAGTGAATCCATTGGGTATCTTGAGGATAAAGTGCACGTTCGTTCTCCGTGAACATAAATGTCGTAGTGATTACCTCAGGTACTCTCGGCGTTTCAGGCCGCGTTCTGACCGCTCTTTTTATGAGCCGACGCGCCGCAACGGAGCCCCCCTCTGAGGCAGAGTACGCTGGAGGTGCCGCAGCGAGGTCGATCTGCAGCTGCAAGGATGTCCCCGTTAGTAGCTCAGCTGCCACTTCTCTTTGCAGAATGACTGCTGTGCGTTCCAAAGCCTAGATAAACGTTCGCGCAAGCTGTACTGCACATCCTTTTGAAAGAGTGTTGGATATTATCTTGGAAATCGACGCTGCCACAAAATAGGAGTGCCTCGCTCAAGCATGCAGAATTTGGTTTTCCCTCTGAAACCATCAAAGTAGCTGTCCTGTAAACTGTGAATGACAAACTTGCCTTGCAATGAGCCAACTCTTTGCGATTGGCAGCATATGTCTTTCGCTGCCGTAGAAGAGGCGGTGCCTTCGGAGTTACAGGCGCTGCGCTATTGCACAGTCGCTCTTCTATGGCATCTAGGGCTAGAAAGTCCTGAAGGAAGCATTACAATGGGAATTCTGTGGCATCGTTGCAGTGCACACAGCCCTTTGCCTGTAATCTGATCGAAGGATAGTTTGTGTTGTTGTTCAAAAGCCGCCCGACTGCTTGCCTGTAGCACAACGCTGAAGCAGCCTTGAGTATTTATCCATAGAGAGGGAAAACAGTTTTGTGAGTTGTGATGTTGCGTGCCTCTGCGTGTGCTAAATGAGCTGCCGAGAGCATGGTGAAGGGATCGGGAGGGCAATAGCCATCCCTCGCAGCCGAAACGACGCTTTGAAAACTTGTACTGCTTCGTAGCTTGTTTGCAGCGCACAACGGCCTTGCCAGCGACTGGGTAATTTGATTCCGTTTCAGCCAAAGGCGGCGGAGTCCCTCTAAACGAGACCGTTCAATTAGTATATGTCTACGTTGCATGCGTTCCTTTAAGATCTTCTGCCGCCTCCGATGAGCTGCCTCGCTCTTCGCCCTCATTTTGGCGGCACGCATCCGTAGAGCAGCTTCTACAAGACGAAGACGTTCCTCCTGCACAGAGTGACTGCCTTCACCATTATGGGAAGCTTTCTATTTATGCCTATAGGCTTGCTCATTAAGGGCTTCCCTGCGCTTCTCTGTCTTACTAAACGCAGCGAAGACCTCGTCCAGCAACAGGCCCTTGTTTAGGAAGCTGAGTTACTCAAAACAGCAGCATATTTCGGGTTTCATATTGCAGTGTTTACCTGCAGCTCACGAATGTCCCGCTCCCTCTGAGCCCATTTCCAAAGCTCTTGACGTTCCATTAAGGTAGTGCGGATTGCTAGACAGAACTCATCGGTCGGAGGTGGGAGCACTTGATCAAGCCGCCGCTGCAGCTGCATTTCCTGGATAGCTCGGATCTCGCGGGATGTCGCAGGAAGCCCCCTTGACCAGCAAAGGTGCGATATTCCTAATTCTTCAGGTTGAGCCCCAGAAGTGCAAATGTACTGTGGCGAGTACGGGTCTGTCTGCACATCCTGCTCCCTCGAAATCGACTGCAGACCAATGGACTTAGCACTGAAGTCTCCAGAATCTGTCCCCGAGACACGCCAACACAGTCGTAGGCTGATATAAAATGTGTAGATGCTACAGAACATTTCTTCACGAGCCACCTATGACACTGAGCTGGCTAAAGAAGTGAAATAGAGACTCTTGCGCCGAGGTTCTTATTGATTTGAACTTGCCGCAGCGTATATCTTCTTGTTCCATTGCCACAGTGCTCCTTTTTAATGCTGCCTGGGGGATATAGTTTTCATCGCCAGTAGGCAGATTCGTGAACTCGTTGGACCAACAAGCGTAAGACTTTGGCTTGTAGTGGAAAAACTTGAACCTGCATGGGCCGCTTATACGTTCTACCAATTCTATGAAGGCATTTTGTCTTGCCTCGTCGAATTCTCGGCCAATGTTTACTCCACTAGTTCCATCTGCAGTGGAATCTACAATTTGAAAGCTTCTCGTGGCCCATAAAAAGCACTTGGGAGTACGTTCAATGGGCTGAATTAAGAGGGAGGCTTTGGTTTTCCCAATGTGGTGAGAAGAAAGATCGGAGGGTTCATACTTGTCTCTCTCTTTTTCACTACTCATCCTGGCTACAACTATCTCTGTACTCATAGTTGAAAACACACTCGTTTTTTCCTCTGCTAGTTATAAATTGCTAAAAATGGACTCTCCTTCCTGAAAAAGGCTTGCTATCTTAGCAGTTTCTAACGCGGGCTAGGGAGAGAGAGCAAGACCTTTTTTTCTGGCCCTGGAATGGGGACGAGAGCAAAGATAGCAGCAATTTCGTTGATTCATAGTCTTTTCCAAATTAGTCTGACACGATTACGTTCTCTGCTAAAGTTTTCAGAGGCCCTGATCACCCCGGAAGCAAGTGGGCTTTGCATGCGCGATCATCCGGAGCCCCAGCCACAATAATTCCATTTTACGCATAACTGAAACAGTAGAACTGACTTACTTCATTTAATAGGTAAAATGGGCACAAAGCATTTAATGTCTCTCCGTATTCGTGCAGTTTGTGCTATTCATTTGCATGCAAGTCGACTGTGTGGCGTTATGGGAGTGTCCCGCTGAAGAACAGCTAGCTAGATATAACTGTATTGCAGCTGCGCTCGGATTGCCGGGCGTTCGAGACCTTCGTACTGAGCCTCTGCTTAAGCAAATACAAACCAGAGAAAGTCTGAGGAGTTTGAGTGGTACCTATAAGAGATTCACAGCAATCTGCCTTCTGATCCATAAATATAAAAGAGCATACGGGAGGCAGCAGTTTTTGTAATGCACTGCCCCTCTGCTATCAAGTAGGCCGAATCGCTTTCATACATGCATTAACAAGGCATTCTCTGTGTGAAATAGACTGCATCCGATGGTGCTCTGATGCAAGACGAGCCGTTCTCATCTTTCCTCGAGGGACCTTCCCCTCAGGGCCTGCCGTCAGGAAGGTCTGTCGCTGGAGGGGGAGTCAACGCTCTCGAGAAAACAGTCTTCGAAGTTCTTTCATCATCGGTTGGTGTTCAACATTGACTTGTTGCGAAGAAGCTTTGCAAACATAATGTGATACTATCCTTAACATAATTGTTCACATTTTTCCCTCTTTGAAATTGAGACTTCACAGATTTCACTCTCTGTCGGGGAGTCAGCCACGCACATTTTCGCTTGACGAGTAGAGCAGCACCAGCAGAGATTTGCTCCAAATTTCTTTCACCGCGAAAGCAACTACGTTGGGGTGGTCTGTGGTAAACGTTGGAGGAAGTGCCCTCGAGAAAACAATCTTCGAAAACAATATTCGACGCAACAATCATTGAATTGATAAAATTCGGCCTAGATAGAACTAATTGATCAATCGCAGGCCAAATATGGAAAGAAAAAAAATAACGTGCATTGTAGGCTCATCCCGGGTGAACAGGAATCTCTAAGTACTGTCAGCAAGAGAGTTAATTACAAGTGTCTCGCTGGTCGCAGGAACCATTATCTATTTGACAGGTAAAAGTGTACATTGTTGAAAGGCCCCACCATCGACGGTACTCCACATTCTCAATTGAGTGCTCGCAAAGGCGAAAGGCTACTTCAGCAGTAAAGCTATGGTTACTCTGCGGAAAGACTAGCACATACAGATTTCGTTAATCACACAATTATTCCGTTGCATCGAACATTTGCGTTTTCCTATCCATTGTTAGCCTGCTAATAGAATTCCATGCAGTCATTTAGCGTTGCTTTGGTACTAAGTCCGGATTGTTTGACAAAAACCATGCACCTATTCGTGCGCGAACAAACCGTCAAACTATCCAACAGTGCCCAAAGGCATCTACCAACATCATTTGCGTGCATCAACTACAATGCAGAACAAGAGCATTCGTCACATTCTCATTATCGTGCAAATATGCAAACGTCTCCTATAGTCATACCAATTGTCACTTCATAAAGAGTGTTTACTGCATTCACCAACGTTACACTCAATGTACATCAATATGCACTCGCAGACACTTCCACTTTTCATACAACCGTCATTCGTTTCACAACGAGCACGGCACTGTTGCAGTGATTGTAGTGTGTATTCAGTACTTGCTGCAGCAGAAGTTGGTACGTCTAGTTGTACTTTCGTGCCGTCTGGCCACCGCGGCGTTACTACGCCTTTATCAGTTGTATACAGTGACAAGGCATGCAGGCATGGATTATTCTCGGGTGGCTGCCTGACGGCAGATGTTGCGATAGAGTGTATTGCAACTTGCAACAGGCCGCTTCTTCTCCATACAGCCCCAGCGCCTTATCTCGCTTTGCCGTGGACGCATGGACACTGGGAGGGGAAGTGAAGGTTTTCCGCAAACTCTCCTCCTAAGTGTTTTGACTGTCTTGCAGCTCGCGACGGTAGCGTGCTAAGACTGAGTTGTGTCATCACCGGTGATAGCGCCGCATCGTTGAGTGGCGCAGGCGCGCGTGGTGAATTCATCCCAAAGCTAGGTAGCCTGGTATATATCCCATACAAATCAAGCAGGCTCTGTGCAGAGACAAAACGGGAAAATGCTGCACATTTCCACCTAAAATCTATGTGATGCATTCACCCCCTTGCGAAAAAAGCTAGTACTCATTGGAGCCCAGATCCTGTTCGAGGTCGATTGATCAGTATCTGGGCTCCGGTGTGTACCAGTTATTTTCAACCCATAAGCATTGGCTCTATGGGATCCACACCACCTGCGAATGGAGCAGAACGGCGAGCAGTCCGCGAAGTTTGCCACAGGCTGGATAGAGCCCTTTGCTGCTCTTCCTAGGGTTAAGGAGTCCGTGTAGATTGTAGCTCTACACACAATGGAGATATGTTACCGTATCACTAATGTCAATTTTTCACAAGGGCTTAGGGGCTTGCTGAAAGCTTTTTGGAGACTCCCCACAAAGGGGCAACAATGCCACAGCAAAAAGGAGCAACCGGAAAAGTTGCTTGGCCCTAGACTCGCAGAAGTCACAGAAAATGAGAATATTACGTTAAATGGCGAAGCCCGCGACAGCCATAATGGATCTCTGAGTCTTTCCCGTGAGAAATAATTCTTGAGGAGCACCTGCTAATTTTTCTGAACTCAGCTGCGGCGGCAGCACTCGTAAGCCTGTACAACCGAACGCTAACTTGGGCTGCGTCTAATATTTCGTTGACAATCGTGCTCTCAGGCGTATAGAGAGGATCGAAATTGTTCTCTACGAACTCTCCAGTACCAGTTGTTTCCTCTCTGTTACGCACGCTCCTTCGTCTACCTATGGCTAGGCCGCGGGCGCTGCTAGCAACACTTTCATTTTTTCACGCTTTGGACTTGCGTCCCCCTTCGGAACTTGCCTGACCCCTTTCTCACTCTCGCTCTGATGCTGTTCAAGGGTTACGGTCCACCTAATATTTTGCATTGGTTTGGAATGCCTGCCTTATGGAAAGATCCCCAACCCACGAGCAACGAAGCGTGCGCTGTTTGGTCCAGTTGCAGGTGCGCTGCTGCAGTGCGGCAAGCTTGGTAGCATCACCAACTGATATGTCCATAATCGGTCGGCCTCCTCGTTCTTTTCCTTTTGCTGTTTTTTCTTTCCTTTTTCTTCTTGCGGCACTTGGTCCACCGTGTTCCTTCCTCTTCTCTGCTTGTTTCATCCATTCCTGGTTGGGCAGCTAGGCAGATGAGGGCCCTTGCTGCTTGGAAGAAGAAAGGGGAGATATGTAACTTGCTGTTTTTGAAGTTTGTGCATATATACCTACTTGCGTGCACTCTGATAACGTAGGGTCAATTTAGTGCTAAACGCTTTCGACAGTTCTAGTCAACGAGGCTGTTGCAATTTCCCAGGCCAACTCTTCCTGAAGAGCCTCAGGCCTTTGTAGGGCTCTCCTCAGGGAGCGGGGAGGCCGGTAGAGGAGGGTCACTTTTGAGTGTATTGCAACTCTTGACGTTTCTCAGCTAGGACCTAGAACTTCCGTTACACCAATGAGTCATTCCTCGCTTTATTATGCGTGTCTCACTAGTAGGAACTTCTCGTTTCAGTCAGCTCGCTAGAAAGTTAACGAAATAGATGTACAACCAACGTGAATAAGCGTATGGTGGGACTCGGACCCTGCTAGAGTGTTGTTCTGCATGCTACATGCCGCTAAAGTGCATTAAACTCTCCTTCCAGCGTCTCCCCCCTGAATATTCTATGTGACTCTAAATTCAGCTCAAATGCATTTGGAATACTGTTTGTAAACTGTTGAGTCCCCAGCCTAGCAAACTGCAATGCAGTTGGGAGGACCGCTAAGATCCCGGCATGTATCTTAATCTGCTAGCATTTGCGGTTAAGAGAAACCGAAGAAGACTCTCAGTGCAACGTGAAAATAAGTACAACGTGACTGCACAAACTTACCTGCAGTACGCCGCAGCGCGTTTACACACCGGGGCTGCATGAGCGATAGTGCAGACCGAGATATAGGGCAAGAAAAAGGAGACGTGTTCAGCTGGTTCTAGAGAGTTTCTAAACTAATGCGGCTGATTTACTCTAATCTGTTTTAGACGTTGAAGATGAGTAGATATTGATCGCAGTGCGGAGCCTATTCTCAGCTGACGTCAATCCAACACCTTTGCCCGGTGACGCAGGAAAATACCATCTT